TGCTTGCTTGCTTGCTTGCTTGCTTGCTTGCTTGCTTGCTTGCTTGCTTGCTTGCTTGCTTGCTTGCTTGCTTGCTTGCTTGCTTGCTTGCTTGCTTGGCTGAGGCACACGCTACACTCACCAGCTTCCTCACTCCAGAACAATACATGCCTGTTCACTGAGCTCCTTTAAATACTTTCAGGCTCTCCCTCCCACAGGTGCAGTCACTTACCGTTCTACAATGCAGAATCTACATCATCGCCAACGCCCAATGACCGATAACGCTGAGTTGCTTAGCAACAGAACCCATACAAAAAAAGCGGAAGCGGACGTGGACGCGCTACTTGTATCTGCGTTTACCTGGCAAGTCAAGCTTTTCGGATCGCTTGCCGACAGTAGTTTTCCAGTTCAGTGTTTTCTTGTTACAGCTGTCCGTGTGATGGCTAAAATCGTGATGTGTGAGACGCTTGACCTCTACAATATCCTCAATCAGTGCCGACGTGTGCCCAGACTCGCAGAGATCAACTACCTGTGTTTGATTGGTAAGAGAAAATCGGCCAGTACCAACATTTGTCTGGTTAGATAAGTCCTATGCTTAATTACTCTATGTGTTGTCTATGGGTATGAGTGCTATAGCACATGCTTTTTGTTTCTTTAAGAGACTCATTCTCACGTTTTGTTCACAAAGTCTCACCCGTGCAAAAGATATACCCAATTTTGTGCTGGATGATTTTATACTTTTATCAAAACCTTGCCCATTAGCGCAAAAAACAAACCAAACCCGCAGGCTTGATTTAGAGTAAAACGTAAAAAGTGTTCAAACACAAACATGACACTTAATGGATTTACTTGTAACTTTATGCAATATTATATTTTGCAATATAATTTATTTTCTTATTTCACCTGCTCCCTTTAACAGGGGCGCCTCCAGTCTTTTTTATAGTGGTGGCCATATGGGGGCCAACAAATATTGGGGTGGCACATTAAAAAACTGAATTTCCAGTTTTATTATGCTGTTGTCAAATATAGGCAAAATTACATATATCTAAAAAAAAAGAGAGAGAGAGAAAGAAAAGAATTGATAATAATTGACAAATACAAAAGTTGATATCACTAAAAAATTGAAAACCAAATAAGATTGTGAGATTGATAATAATCTGTTTTAATTGATTGATTGATAGATAAACTTGATTCCGTTAGTTGTAACTTTGTTGAGTGTTGTATGTCTCTGTTCCAGATGCTAATGAAGTCAAAGATTACTACAGGAGTCACATCATAACTGCTAAAAATGCTAAAATGGTATGGCTATCATTGGGTCCACAGTTGACATGTGTCTGTGTGTGTGCGCAAAAACCCAGGGGTAAAACTACAAATTTCTCCTGTACATTTAGTCAGGCTTTAACCTTTCCTCTAAACTTTTTGCACACGACTGTACCAAAACTTTCAAATTGACTTTTTCCAGGACTCAGAGGGGACATTCCTTCTTCCAGAGTTTGTGGAGGTTGAAAGTATGCAGCATGTGGTGGTCTACGACAACAACACAAGCTCTTTACAGGAGCAAGGTTAGAGTGGTAAATGAGAGATTTCTTCAGAACAAGTCCACTTTTATGCATTTTATTTGCATTGTTGTGCCAAAAGAAAACAACTGGTTTCCTGCAAACAAACAAAAATAAATAAATAAAATCTGTATTTCAGCCTTAAAAGCAATGCTTATTGTGGCTCTCTCCCTGTGATTACAGGCAGAGCAACTTCATGTGCCCAAGTGTTTGCTAAGGCTAGCCTCAATCCAGTCAAGATATTGAGAGGAGGCTTTCAGAGATTCTCAGCTCAATACCCTTTTTTGAGGACTGAGAAAATCCTGAACACCATCATGGTAGAACTCTCCTAAAACACAAACATTCCTGCCATCATTTTTTTTTTCATCAATTTAAGATTATGGGGGGGCCTGTCTTATCTGGAGCCAGGTATACAAATCTTCCATCAGCATTCAATTAATTGCCAAATTACATATGTTGCAATATAAGGTAACATAAGGCCAGTGTTTAGCGGCTACAGGGCAGTTTCTTACTCATGTGTTCTCACATATCCAGCTAAAGTGAACTGATTCCAGTTTCTGCCTAATAAATATAAAATGTGTCAGGTAATTATTGCACTGCCACCTTGCATGCAATAAGTTTCCTGTTTGCCACCTACTGGTTAACCTGGATGTTTACCCTTTTCCCAAAGTACTCCAGTTTCCTGTCATGGTCCAAAGACATGCATGTTATGTTAACCGGTGATTATAAATTGGCCTTCAGTGTGGATGGCACCATTGAGTATTTCTGTCACTCTGTTAGCCCCATAACAGCTGAGATAGGCTCCAGTCTAAGCAGTTTGGAGAATTGTTGTAATTGATTGTATATATCTGTGGGCTACCTCAGGAGCTGGAAAGCCTTAAGATTTACCCAGTGGAGATCTTAGCAGGACTGCTGTACATGGGTGATGAGAAGCAATCCATGGACTTCACTCTTATCAAAGACCTGAAAATTGGTGCTATCGTCAGCATCTCAGAGAGTGACACTCTCGAGTAAGGCTGGGCTGGATATTGAGTATTAGAGAGAATAATTAACATATTGCTTTATAGATCTTATTAGTTGTTGTTTTTTTACTCTTTTAAATTCCTTCAAATCAAGGTTCATGAAGGAGATCCATACCTTGCTTATCACCCCTGTGGCTGACTCAGTACGGTCTGATTTATATTCAAGCTTTGAAAGGATCTGCAATTTTGTTAGTAAGTTGTTCCTTTGCTTTCATTAACAAGACGTTTAAAAATCTGAATTTTATAATTGAATTCATAGAAGTCAGAAACTAGTGAATTATAGGTGTCTGAATTTCTTCAGTTGGGCAAACTCTAGAAGGAGAACAGAAACAATTATATAAATGCAGTTGGCTGTCTTAGTTCAGGTAAAAATTTCAAGATCTCAAACTAAAAAAAACTGATTGCATATTACTCAAATTCTGAATTATTTTGTTATTAATATGTAAAAATACAACAGCTTCAAGACTGTCCATCTGAAAGAAATGCATCATGTATCATGAATCCAGAAGTCATAGCGTTAACTTAAAATCACAGAGTGTAACGTTAACTTACTGAATGTATTTTAAAAAGAAAATTATTATTTGAGGCAATGTGTATTATGCAATGCAATCCATCCACCACAAATTGTAATGAGTGATTTCAGATTTTTCTAATTTCTGTTTTTTGTTGCTATAAATGTAGTAAGTGTTGCACAGAACAGGTGTTGCAGAGGGCTTTCTTGTTATCTCCTGCTTTCAGGTTCCCACATCAACATGGGCTCTCGTGTCCTGATAGTTTCCAAGCAAGGCAGAAGCCGCGCCAGCGCAGTGGCCATTGCATTTCTCATCCATTACCTCAAATACACACTAAAGGCAAGTTTGTTTCGTTCAGTTTAGTGGCAGTATGTGCACAAAGTGTGACTCTTGTGTCCTCAAATGGCAAGAAAAACAATATATTTTCCAAAATGGCACCAAGAAAGAACTGATCCTAGTTATAGAAAGTACAGTAAATACAGTGCATAATGATGTTGGTTTAACTTTTTCAGGAGGCCTGGACGCATATGCTCAAATGTAAACCCATCATGAGGCCAAATACTGGTTTTCTGCAGCAGTTGTCCAACTGGGAGCTTCACACTTTGGGAACAACAACGACTGATTTTGTCTCAATCACATTTTTAACAAAAGAAGAATTTTTTTAGTCATCTGAACTCTGGATTCTGTATATGTGGCCCATGTAACATTTAAAATATCTGATATACCTACATTGACTGCATGCAAGTCTGTAACTTCACAGAACCTTGGTTTTTAATCCATCCATTCTTTTCCGCTTATCTGCGGGGAAGTCGTGGGTGCAGCAGACTAAGCAGAGAGGCCCAGACCTCCCTCTCCTTGGCCAGCTTGTCTAGGGGAACACAAAAGCGTTCCTAGGGCAACCAAGAGGTATAATTTCTCCCGCATGTCATGGGTCTGCCCCAGGGCCTCCTCCTGGTGGGACATGCCCAGAACACCTCACCCAGGAGGCGCTCAGAAGGAATCCTTGTCAGATGCCCAAACCACCTCAACTGCAATGCACAGGCAGCAAGCGGAGGGGGATACTAAGATACCTATCCCAGTCCACCACCTCTCATCAAAGCAAACTCCAGACTGGAACAGAGTCAAGACCCTCTCCAGGAGACTGGTTCCAGAGCCCAAGCTGTGCGTTGAGGTCAGCCTGACTATATCTAACCAGTACCTCTCAACTTCACGCACTAGCTCAGCCTCCTTCACCACCAGAGAGGTGACGTTCCATATCCCAATTGCTCGGTAGCCCGGTGATTGTTCTGTCAGGGTCTCCGCCCCTGCACACACTGCACCCTACCCCATAGCGCCTCCTGTGGGTGGTGTCCCCTCTTTGGGCTGTACCACTACCACCACTACCATTACCACCGGGGCTGGCTCCAGGGCAGGGCCCCAGTAACCCTGTAACTCTATCCTGGGCAGGGTGAACTGTTCCCTAGATTTCACACTCACAGGGGTTTTTCAATCGCTCTTTGTCTGGTCACTCACCCAGGACCAATTTGCCATGGTAAACCCTACCAGGGGGGCAAAAGCCCCCTGACAAGATAGCCCCCAGGATCCCTTGGACACAAAAACCCCTCTACCAAAATAAGGCAGCAATTCACGGAGGGGACAGGGGAATTGTATTTTAATTAAGATACAGATTAGGTTCATTCAGTATTAGTTCATTTAATATTGGATTGAACTGTTTAAATAAATACACTGAGATTTATTGGAAACGTTGAAACTATTGAAATGTCCAGTGACTTTAAGTGGAAATTTGATCCAAAGCAATGAAATCTCCAAACATTCCCTTTCATCACAAAATTTTGGGTGTAATTTAAAGGATCAATTTCAAGTAAAAATGGTTAATAAAGCTGTATTTAAATAAACTTTTCTAAATAATGAATTTCTCCATTCATTATTCATTACTGCCTTAAATGCAAACAAATAACCTTTTCACCATTTTTATGGATTTTTAAGGTTAAAAAAGCAAGGATTTCAATTTCAGGTGTTGATATAGTTTTACAATACACAAGGATAAAAAAAAAATGAAGGTAACATCTTCCTTTTTTATTTTTTGCTTTTTTTGTATTTTGCAGAATTTAAAGGACCTGGTTTGTATTGACAAAGGTTTTGTTGATTTAGGTTCTTAAATGGCCCTGCCAGAGGCGCTTACATTATTGACGGTAACACTTTCCCCTATTTGCACAGTTGCACAACGTCACCTCTAAAAATACAGGCCACAGGCCAAGTGGTGTGCAATTTATAACCCTAGATTTTACCTTTCTGGTGAGAGAATGCCTTCTCTGTAAAATCCCAACTGAGTAGTAACATATATCCTAATTATCTGTGTTTCTGTAGTTTCTAGCATGGCTAGGATTAGATGACAGTTTAGGGTAATGTGGCAAACCAGTCTTATTAGCTTGGTTAGTTTGGATGGATAAAAAGCTGTTGTATTGCCTGAAAGATATAACTCGGGGCACTATTTCCTGATGTGACAAAGCGGCTCTAAAGATACTAGAGCTGATTGGCTGATAAGGGGTAACCGAAATGCCAGCCTCACATCTGATTGGGGTAACTAGATACAAGCCTATGATTAACCGGATGGGACATTTAAAAAAAATAAAAGCATACATTTTTAATCCTTGAAATTAAATAGTACTGTTGTTAGTGTAAAGTGGTTTTGGAGTGAACACAGTAATATATTTGGACTTTATAGGATTACTGCTATCTATACTATTTGGGGGAAAAAAGATATATATGAAATTATTCTGTAAGCCACCATTCGAATACATTATGTTCATAACAGAGCAGCAATGAAATAAGTAAATGAAATTACAAATGAAGTTAAATTAAATTAAAACAAATTCATGTTAAAATAATAGACTTACAAATAATGGTGGTTTAAGCCAAAATCAGACAAACACACAGACACGCACACACTATAATTACTGTGTTTACATAATGTGTGTCCTTCTACCTTCTGTTTTTATTTATTTATTTATTTATTTATTATTTTTTATTTATTTATTGGGGGGGGGCTGTTTTTTTTTTTTTTTGGACCATCGGTGTCAGTAACAAAAACTCATTGAAAGTACCCCATAAATCACTTATTCGTTGGAAACTAAAACATACATTAATAAAGTATTAAACCGCAATTAGTTACAACACATTTGTAATTATGTTTAACTAATGCCAATTTACGTATTTTATTATCCATCCGTTTTGAACTGGGAACGTTAAAATACCTCAACACCTTTATTGTGAAGGTGCTTGCAGGAAGTAGCGCCAGTTTATCTGTTAAGCTTTAATTCTGTTGGGTGGTACAACTGTTGCTCACTCGAGTGTGATTATTGACCAACTCCGCGAGGTTTCCTGATGCCAGAGGGAAAAATGTTGTTCAGTCCAGGTGGTTTATCTGAGTGCTTACGCGAATGGGAGGATTTAGAGAAGGACTACCAACAGATTCAGGTATTTTAACTAAATGGTGTGTCCACCCCGGTTACCCCTGCCCGGGTAAGCTAACAGTCGGGGGTAGGTGGGGGAAACGCACAGGCTACAGAATGAGGGGCTTGCCTTCAGCAGCTCAAGATAACTGTCTTGTGACAGCCAAGAGATGCAGAAAATGTAATTGAAACGTAAGCTTAATTCCTGCGAGGACAAAAGCCTCTTTTTTTTCCTCCACCGTGACAGCTGTCACACTGTTAAAGGAAGAACCTCGGGGCTATGGGTGTTGGTTTGTTGTTATCGTTGAGAGCTTAGATCCGTTACAGTGCACATATATTGATATAGGCCTGGTTAGTTGTCGTTTATAGGTGTGGTGTTAATATATAACTAAATGGCAGGCATTGAAATGCGTATGTCACTTGTCAAAGGAAGTGTTCAGGTCCTAAACCAGCATCAAGGTAAGAAAAACTAAATTTAAAAACACAATTGTTGGAGCAATATACTGAATGTGAATTTTGGTGTAACTGGAAATTTTACATTTTAAAAAGGCGAGCATTTTAACTGCAAGACAATGATGCAAACACATAAAATAGATTTTATATATTCAGTGTGTCTTTGCTAAGATTAATACATTGAGACAGAGTTTTTTGAGTAGGTCTGTTTATGCTAGTAAATGTAGCACAATACACAAATATTTTTCTAGGTAACTTGTCTTACCATGTCAATTTACACATCATATTAGAGCAGCTGTGGTTTGGGTGGTACAGTGGGTTGTCTACTAACTGGAAGGTTGTTGGATCAATTCCTTTCAAAGTATCCTTGAGTGGGATACTGAATACCAGATTGCCCTTTATCAATATGTGTTTGTGAATAGTAAAATGCAAAGTAGTAACTGCTGTCTGCAGTTGTAAATTCTGCGTAAAATTGCATCACTTTCCGTCATATAAAAGAGGGCACAACCATTTCTCTGTCTCTTGTGCAATTCTGATTGCTCAGTTCTGGGAATTTGCCACAATATGAAGCCAAGGGGGTAAAAAATTATTCCTGTGCCCAACTTTTACAGAATCAGTTTACAGAAAAATTTGGCAGTTAAAAGTGTCTTAAACTTGTACAAACCAACTGTGATAACCAGTCACATGTTTTCTGGAAAGCAACATACTTACGTCTGATTATACCTACCTCAAATATATAGTTAAATAATTAAGGTACAATAACTTATTTAAATGCTTTGGAAGCTAGACAGATTTTCTCATGTAATCATTTAAAATATCTATGGGTTAGGGTTAGAATCCAAGAATCCATTAACAATAAATCCATGATTATTACATGATAACCCATTTAGCAGCCTGTATTGCAACCATTAAAGAAAAACATGCAACAGCATCAGATTCTTTGGTTAATTTTAATTGCCCCTTGGGGATAAATAAAGTCTTTCTGATTCTGATTCTGATTGGTTAAAGCTTTGGTTGGTTTTTATCTTTTTGTGCCCATCCTACCTTGCAGATTTCATCATAATTAAAACTTTTGCATTACACCATACATATTTATATTATCCTCTGGATTTTTTTTTTCTTTTTAACCCCAGGACACCCATCGTCTATATAAACAGAAACTTGAGGACGTGACCAAACTGCAAGACAGCTGCTCAAACGCTATCGCACGTCAGAGGAAGAAACTGAAAGAGCTTGCTGTGTCCCTAGAAGAGTAAGTATTGATCAGAAATGAGACAAGATAACTTGAAATATGTGTATGTAATGTTTTTGTAAAAGCATTTGTGTCATCAGCTCATTCAGGATACAGAAGCCCAAAAAATGAATTGGGTAGGAATTTATTCTGGCTTTTTAGTAGCTGGTTGTTTTCAGGGACTTTTTTCCACTTTCTCCAATATTACCAGACATGCTTTTTAAAGAGTAACTGCAGCTTTTTATGTTTAGTTTTGCAGTTCAGTATTAATTGGCATTTAAAGAAGCTTTGTTTCTTTTTAAAAACTTCAGCTGGGTGTTGGAAGACTTTGTGCTCTACAAAAAAACATGAACTTAGTATGACAGATATGGTCAGTGGGAGTATAAATGCAAAAAAATGTGAGGACTTTAAAAGTCAAGTAAGAGTTATATTTGAATGTACTTCACGTAATACTTTCTTCAGATACTAAGGGTTCATAATTCAGACTTTTTAAGTTCATGGATATATCATTGTTTGATTTGACACTCTCGTAACATGGAGAGTGTTACTATTAAAGCTGGGATAGGTAGTGATTTTTGGCATCACTGAGCAAAAAATTTATAATCTTTCAGCATGTTATAATCATGTGTGCTAAGGAGGATATTAAACTCCTGCACCTCCACTGAGTTCTCAAAATCTAGCCTGCAATAGGAGGATCTGACCAATTGCAGGCATTTTCCGAAGGAGGGCATTATTATGGATTATAACTGCCACAACAGAATCACAACCTACCTCGTCCACAAACTGGATCTAAAATCAAAAGTGACTCTGTGAACATCTTCCTACATGCATGAAACCTAACAATTGTCCTAACAAATCTTTTTTTTCCATTAGATGCAAATCAAATTCTTCAACAGCCAAATTAAGTCCAGAGGAAGAGGATGCCATCGCAGAAATCGAGGACTCCATCAAAGACAGAGCACATACTTTCTTTGAGATGGAAGCATTTCTCCCCAAGAGGAATGGGTATGATTCTAAATGAGAATGATAAATAGCTACAATTTTCTTTGTCCAAATGGAAGTAAACAAGGAAAATGTTTAAAGTAGAGATGGCACGATACCACTTTTTTATGTCCAATGCCAATATCATAAATTTGGATATCTGCCGATACCGATATGAATCCGATATAGTGTGGTTTTTAATCAATAAAACAGTTTTTTTAATATCTTGCTGCATTTTGTATAAGTTCATACTCAAGTTTAAATAAACAACAACACTAAAGCCATTCTGTTATACCTGTATGCAAAAAATACACTGCACCCAAAATATTTCATAGTTCAGCAATACTGATCAATCTAATAAACTTAAACCTACTCCATCCTTCCTATTCTGGTATTTTAAAGAGTACTTAGCAGAAATATTAAGCAACCTAACCAATAGTGTTGCAAACTCCCAGCAAAAAAAATAGGGAACCACCCCCACCCTCCACCTTATGATGCTTAATCGACGTAATCAACTTTAATTTAAATAATGCACAGAAATAAATTATTTTTCAAGAATAATTAAATAGATTCAACATCTTTCTTCAACAGAATTGCAGACTGCACAGATGGTATCTTCCCAAAGGAAAAGGTACTATAGCTTACTAGGGTATATTAGACTTAACAGTTACTACATACAGTAATGGACTTCTATACATTTTACATCAGATTAAAACTTTGGGTGTAAGATTCAGATAATTATTTATTTAAAGCTAGACATTTTAAATGAGAATAAGAAAGAAAAGTATGTCTTTGTGCCCACCTTTTCCCTGTTAATGCCCTATCGGCCCCCCTGGCTAAACTTTGCTAGATCTGCCCCTGCACAGTTACCAGCGTCAAACTAATTATAGCATAAGGCATTAAAGTAATATTAAATAAATTCTAACAACAGCTTATCAAGCTTAAACGTGCTGCTGTTGTTCAGCGCTGGTTTCCTCTTTCTGGTGCAAAGTGGGCCAAAAACAAAGAAGAGAGACGGACTCGCAACAGAAAAGCCGATCAGCTGATCATTAAGCAGTTTCATTATTGAAGTAGCAGCAGGAGAGAGAGAGAGAGAAGAGCCAGTCGCTCCATATATCAGTTGTTAAGCTTAACGTGGGAATGCTTTACAAACATTCAGAGATGAACTTACACACTTGCTTTAGTTCTTCCTCGGAGATGAAATGCCGGTTTGGTAGCGAGGCTACAAATACACACAGCCGCTCTATCACGCTGCTCCGACGTGCTACGGTTATGGGCCGAGTTACGCCGTGTCGCGAGTTTTGTGAGGTGCTTTTTTGATATTTAATGGATTGGATTACATTTTTTTATTTCTCTCCAATATCCGATCCAGTAATTTACGTCAGTATTGGATCGGTCCATCTCTAATTTAAAGTGGATGAGTTTTGCGTTTTAAAAATAAAACATATTTATATAAGATTTGAGGACATTTTGGATAACTAATGCCTCTTCCTGTTTAGGTTATATCTCAATCTTGTTTTAGGAAATGTCAATATAACACTCCTCAACAAACAGTCAAAGTAAGTCCCGTATAAGGGTCATTTTCTTCTTCTTTCAAACCTAAAAATGCCTCTTAAAGTGCGGCCACATGAGCACCACAATAATAATCATTTCTATTCTTTCATGAAACAGATTTGCCTACAAAGACGAATATGAGAAGTTCAAACTGGTCCTCACTGTCATCCTCTTTGTATTCTCTTTTACGTGTCGCTTTTTGTTAAGCTACAGGTATGATTTCCCACACCTCATTACTGTTTTGTTTCTTTTGAGTTGGTTTTCATGAAACTTGTGGATGATGTTGTCAGCTTGCTCATTATTGGCAAATGTTTGTAGCAGCAAGTAGTAAATGTTGAATTATCTGCAAATCCACTACAGGTCCCATGTTAATGTATAAAGGAAGATAATCCTCATCATGTTTGTTGTTTTTAGAGTCCTAGACGCCCTGTTCAACTTCCTGTTGGTGTGGTACTACTGCACTCTCACCATCCGGGAGAGTATCCTCATCAGCAACGGCTCTAGGTCTGTGACCATTTTATTTCCTCTGTCTCCACTGTTTTTCTTTTAATGATAATAGGAGATTATATGCAAAGGCTTTGTAATAAAGCAGGGCACTGTCAACTACAGAAAGCCTTATTCTTAAGCCTTTCTGTAACTACTGTATGTGACCAGTTATAATGACTATTATATATTTTGTTTGGTTTATCTTATTTATGAGATGTTATTTTCTTGTTGGTATCCCGTCTGTAATCCTTCAATCTCCCAAATTGTTTCAGGATCAAAGGCTGGTGGGTTTTCCATCACTATGTGTCAACCTTCTTGTCTGGAGTCATGCTCACTTGGTGAGTGATGTTTTTGCACTTTTATCACAGTTTTAAAATTATTCAATAATACAATAACTGTTTGCATCCCTGCTATCGAAATCCTTTCCGTTTTAAATGACATACATATTATGTGGGTGTGCTTTGTTTTTATGTCCTTGTTGACAGGCCTGAAGGTGCACTCTACCAGATGTTTAGGAACCAGTTTCTAAGTTACTGCTTATACCAAAGTAAGAGACTGCCCCTGTTTCATTGACATGCTTGCAGTATGAGTTGTCAGGTGATGATATTGGCTTGCAAACTCTTAAAATGAAGCTGAGCCTACCTAGCAGAACTGCATATTTCAATTTAAGGATTCATTCAGGCCTAAATTATCCAATAATTTACAACTAATGCAAACAAAAACTGAAAAAAAAAAAAGAAAAGCATAGAAAGCATATTTTTCCCATAGTCATTTAAATATCTTGTGGGGACTCGATTCTCATCATGGGAAGCATCATAAAAGTGCATAAAAGCTGTATCTGTCTCTTAGTATAGAGACCGAAACATTAGATCAGGCACCTGGAATGTGGAAATGAATGCACTTTAATAAAGAATTTTGTACAGTTAGGGTTCTATATGCACAAGCCTCAATCAGGAAAGCTACATGAATGTACTCATTCTGATGCGTTTCCTGCATGCATGTCATTCTTACACGGTTAAAATGTGTAAACTGTTGATAATATTCAAAGTAAGCAAGTCTGTTTGTGGTTGGTCCTCGTCTCACTTGTGTCACAAGAAAGAGAAGTGCATGTATGACTTCATTGTTGGGCAAGATGCCCAACAATGAAGTCATACATGCACTTCTCTTTCTTTTAGGTTTCATTCAGTTCCTCCAGTACTACTACCAAAGTGGCTGTTTGTACAGACTCAGAGCACTGGGAGAGAGACATAATATGGACCTTACAGTGGGTGAGTACACCAGCTTGTTATTTATATTCATAAATGACTTTGAAATAACGCAAGCCGAAGAGGAAGGTGGTACAGAACAAGATAAAGCATGATATATTTATCTTGCTGATCTTGGCATCTGACTTCAGGGTGTTACAGGTGGTACATTTGGTAATTTACTAATAAATTTACTGAATGATAAAGGTATGTCTGAGGCAATGAAAACAGTTGAGATTACATTTTAGCATCACCACCAGGTTGGTTATGCTGCCTGACTAAAAAGTTTAAGCCAGAAACTGAAGTTCCCAGACTGGCCACTTGAGGCAGGCTTCAAAAGCAAGTTTTCACAAAAAAAAACATTTGTTCTTTATGGATTAGTGCCTTTTATCTGATAAATAAGGAGTTTTGCTTCAGTTTAGGCGAGTGAAATTCTCTATGTTTACATTTATTTTTGCATTGTAGTGTTTAACTTTTTATCAATGCAGTTTACTTGCTTTAACAGATAACTTATCAGGGTACCCTCACATAAAAAGACAGTCATCTCTGGATCCT